AAAAAAAAAAAAAAAAAAAAAAGTTCAGTGCATGTGGCCCACCCGGAGGACTTCCATGTAGTGGAAATTCCTTGGAGGAGAGAAGCAGCTGAGGCAGAGTGGAGAAGGCAAGACCACTGGGCTGGGCCCTGAGCCTGGGGGACAGGAACTGTCCTGGAGGCACTGGGGAGCCGCAGGGTCTGCTGTGTTCGGAGCCCCATCTGGAGCCAGGCTGGGGCAGCCACAGAGAGGCTGGGGTGAGGGTCCAAGGGAGCCGATGGGACAGGGCCGGGCCATGGGGGAGGAGGCCGTGGGGTGGCACCTGTGGGGGACCTGGGGATCTGAGTGGCTTTAGAAACAGGTGCTAGGTACAGCGGGCTGGAGGCTCCGGGGGTGGCTGGGACATGGCACAGGTCTGGATCTCGAGACAGGAAGTTTCAGGTAGCCACACAAAGTCGGACAATGGTGCCAAAGGTGAAGCTGTCCACGGGAAGCAGGTGGGCTGGGGAGTGGCACTGTTCCTGGGGCAGCTGGGCAATGGGCAGGGCCTGCAGGTTGGGTGGGAGGGCAGCACCTACCTTGTTGAGAGCCATCTGGTAGATGTCCTCTGGGGAGCGGCCCCTCTCTTTGGGGCGCAGTTTGTAGCCCAGCTTCTCGGGCATCTTCTCCACCACGTAGTTCCGCAGCTTCACGCCGTTCACTTCTGTCCACGTGTTCTCGTCATACTGGGTGAATTTTGTCAGGTTGAGCCCCAGGCTCTTGCAGAGCATGTGCAGGATCCTAAGAGTGTGGGGAGGCTGGGTGAGGGCTGGGGTTGGGGGGCCCTGTCCCTTCAGGGCTTGGAGAAGGGACGTGGGGATGAGCGTGAGGCTGGGGCTAGATTTGAGGTCACTGGTGCTGGGGACAGGAATGAAAGGGTCAAGGCCAGAAGGCTGAGGGCAACTGGGTTGGGACTGGGTGAGGAGCCCTGGTCGGCTTTCATTGGGGGTGAAGTGAGAGAGCCCAGATCTGACTCGGGGACAGGGTCAGCGCTCAGGATGGGGGTTTGGGATGGGAAAGGGCCAGGGCCTGGGGTCCCTGAGGGTGCTGGGGGGCCAAGCTGGAGGCTTGGAGGGAATGGGCCAGGGCAGCTGGGTCTGGCTAGAGGAGCCTGGGCCCTGCAGGTCTGGGAGATCACAGGAGTGGCGTGGTGAAGGCTGAGCTGGAGGTGGGTCTGCACCCGACTTGCGTCAGGGGTCTAGCTTGGAGTCAGACCCTGGAGTGGGGGCTGGGGTGTGGCTTGCTGGTGGGGCGCTTGGCGAGCACACACAAGGCCCTCTCATCCTTGGCACAACAGAACCACTGAAAAATGCTGGAGCCTGAGTGGGGATGAGGTGGGTTCTGGTTGAGTGGGCACAAGGGTGGGGCTGAAAGTGGCCAGGGCAGGCCTCACCTGTGGGAGCTGGGCATGCGCATGGCTCCTAGCTCCCCAGACCAGCTGGTCTTAGGGTCCCGGAAGGTGAGGATGCGGCCCCCGATCCTGTTATCTGCCTCCAGAACGGTGACCTGAGGGATGGGGAAAGCAGAGCTCTTCAGCTCCTCTCGCTGAGCCCCAAGCCAGCCAGCCCGGCTTTCCTCCATCCCCATAGCAGCACAAGCCTAGACCAGAAGGACCCCTGTCTTTCTGGGGGTGGCGGGGCTGGAGGGAGAACAAAGTGAGCATTTTCAGGGTGCAGCAGAAAGGCCACCAGCTGGATTGCAGAGGGACTTCCCAGCCAGGGAAAGTGTGGGGTTATTTCCCATGTGTGGAAAGCAGCTAGCTCTCATTCTTGGATTTGGTGGGGTGGGGCAGTGGTTGGACCTCAGGGGACACTTCCCCTGGTGGGGTCACTACCTCCACCTGCCATAGAGCTTTAGTCAGTGGGACTTCCCTCCGAGCTGCAGGGGGCTCTTGGCAGATATTAGAGTGGAGCCTTTGGGGAAAGGACAGTGCCCGCCCTTACTGGCTGGGACTCCTGGCCTGCAGCAGGACGAACTAGGGGTAGACTTTGCGCAAGCTTCTCACCTTGTGTCCACCATCACTGAGCACCTTGGCAGCCACCAGCCCGGCCACACCAGCGCCAACCACAATCACCTTCTGGGGCTGCAAGGTCCGATTGAGGCCCTGGGTCACCACCTTGAGCAGCAGCTCATAGTCGGGATCGTGCATGCATTTCTCGAAGGGGTCCTGGCTGGAGGCCTCCTTCCAGGCCAGGGAGGGTGCCAGGCTGAAGAGGATGGGGGCCAGGGCAAGGAGGTGCAGGGCTGGGAAGGGGGGACAGGGTCAGGGCACAGGTGCTGCAGTGCTGGAATCCCACCGCACTTGGCCCAGCCCCGGCCCCGGCCCTGGCCCCGGCCCTGGCCCCGGCCTGCACACTTACCCAGCCGGGCCATGACTCGGGAGGGAGGTGGTATCTGGGATGGAGAAGTGAGGCCACTGTGACCAGGGCCTGTGTCCCCCCAGCCCGACTCTGTGCCCTGGGACTGCTGGCTCAGCCCTTGCAGCTCAGCCTCCTTTCTCTCGGCAGGTGTCCCCGTCCCCGTCCCAGCAGTCCCTGGGCCTCCCCTCCCCACCGCTCTCTGCCCCTCTCTGCCTCCTGTTCTGCCCCTTTTCTCACCACCTCCTTGTCTTGCTGTCCCTTCTTCCCCCTGCCTGTCAGGCCTGGTCTCTGCAGGTCCCCGTCTCTGTCCTGCTGCCGGCCTCTGCCCCTCTCCTTCAGCTCCTGTGTCCTTCTGTCCCTCTCTGCAGCTCTTCTCTCTCCTTAAACAGGGCCTCGCCCTCCCCGCCCCCTGGCAAACTGGGTGTGGCAGTGGAACTGCTTTCCTGGAGTCTCAGTCAGATGCTGAGGGCAACAGAGGTTGGAGGGGGTGACTGGAGGGACAAAAGGGTCCAGAGGAAGTAACTCAACTCTGTTTTCTTCCTCTTGCCCCAAATAGTTTTGGGGCGGTTGGGAAGACAGAAATAAATCTTGAGGTACTGGTGTGGAAGGTAGGGGCTGCCCTTGGGCCTGTCCCTTCCCCTTCCTACCTACCCCGAATTCTGCCTGCCTCCTGGGCTCGTGGTCCCTGGGCCACGTTCAGCTGCCCCTCCCCAAGTGCCACCTGCAGCCCTGGTCCCTCATCCTCATAGTGTGCGGGTGGGGGCTCCAGCCCAGCACCTGCCAGCAGGGACTGTGGGCCACCCCAGCCTTCCCCTCGCAGTGGCTCTGGCCCACTTCTGCCAGATGGGGGCCAGTGCCACGTGGGAGGATGGAGTGAGGCCAGGTAAGGTCTGAAAGCAGGTCTGGGTCAGTACCAACCTGGGCTCAGGCCAGGGTGGGCAGGCCAGGATGGGGCTGGAGTCAGAGAGAACCAGAGGACAGCTCCAGGGAGCCCCTCACAGAAGGACCTGGCAGCGGGGGCCCCACTCTAGCTCTGAACCCAGTGGGGTGAAGGAATGGGGTGTCTCTCAGGGTGGATGGGGGGCTGGCTCTCTGGAGCAGGGGAGGAGGCGTTGCCAAAGATAGCAAGCTGGGAAACTCCACAGAGCGTCAAAGGGGATGTGGTTTGGGGAGGAGTGGGCTGCACAGGAGTGAGTCAGAGGCACCATGTGGGCTGGGCGGGGGGCACCGGACAGAGCCTCCAGCCTGAATGTGAGGGAAAGCTGAAGTCTGCAAAATTAGCTCTCAGGGACAAGGACCCGGGAGCATTCTGGCCTCGGGCTGCTGCTTGGCCACTTTGTACTCAGGGCTTTTCGGTCCCTTCAACACACTCACAGGCCACATTGGATACTGGAGGGGCAGCGGTGAGGAGGACCCCAAGGCTCAGAGGGGAAGGACTTGCCCTGGGTCCTTGCTAGGCCCCTGGCTGGAGGACCCGGCTTCTGCAGCCTGGGAACCGCACCTCACATCAGTGAAAGGCAGCAGAAATCATCAAAAAAGGCAGGTGGCAGAGCCATGGGCTCTTAGGGCTTGTTGGGGCCAGCTTTGACGTCCCCAGGGTGGGTGAGTGGTCCCTCAGCCCGCTGCTGCTGGGCCCTAGAGAGCAGAGGGAGGAGCAGGCTTCTGGACACCCTGTGCTGCTGATGACCTGACTTTGCTGCACTGATGAGTAGCTGCTCTGCCAAGGTGAGCTCTCTGGCCCCCTTTACAGCGGGGAAAGCCGAGGCCCAGGTGAGTCCCAGCTAGCATGGCTGAGTCAGTGTTTAGACGGCTGCCCGGCTCCAGGCCAGTGTCCCCAGTCACTCTGCTGTCAGGGACAAGCTCAGACCCAGGACCAGAGCCCAGGCCAGTCCTTCCACCTCTGGGCTGGTGACATCTGGGGCCAGGTGACCCTGGGTGCAGCTGCCCTGTGCCCTGAGCAGTGTCCCTGGCTTCTACCCACTGGAAGCCACAGCACCCAGCGCCCCAGCAATGTGAGATAACCTGAGACATCTCCAGGCACTACCAAGTGTTCCCAGGGAGGGGCAGTCACTTCTCAGCAGCCCGGGTCACTGAGGGGCGTAATTCCAGAGCAGCCATGGGCACAGGGACACAGCTGGGTCAGCCAGCAGGACAAACACTAGAGGCTGTGGCCCAGTGTACCTCATGCAGATTAGGAGTGTTTGGAGACTGGGTTTTTCCTTATTTTGTGTTGCCTTCATTCCCATATATCATTTGCAAGTAAAGAAAAAACATCCCAAGCCGGGCGGGGCATGGTGGTGCCCGTAATCTCAGCACTAGAGAGGCAGAGCCAGGAGGATCACCTGGGCTGCACAGGGAGTTCAAGGGCAGCTGGAACTACACACTGAGACTCTGTCTCCAAAATACAATAAAACAAAAGAAAGACCGGACCCCAGCTGGGGATGGTGGTGCACACCTATAATTTCAGCACTCTGGGAGGCTGAGGCAGGATGATCAAGTCTGAGCCCAGCCAGAATAATTTAGCAAGAGTCTGTCTTGCTGCCTTACAAGTGCAAAGACCTGAGTTTGATCCCTGGTACCCAAAAAAAGAGTCTGTCTTGAAAAAAGAAAGAGAGAGAGAGAGAGAGAGAGAGACAGAGAGAGGGAAGGAGGGAGGAAGGGAGGGGCTAGGGATGGGAATGTTGCTCAGTGTGAAGGCCCTGAGTTCAAGTCCCAGTACTCAACACAACACAAAACAACAACCAGTGTTAGTCTGAAGTTGTACTCAGCACCTCACTTGCTCTAAGGTAAACACTGAGGGGGACCAGGCGGGCAGGGCTTTGGACCCTGCACTGGAAAGGACGGGACTTTCCTGGGTGTGCTGGGGACAGTGCCAGGTGAGGCGAGGGAGGCACGAGACAGAAAGAGAAGCATGGGTGAGGCTGGGGCGGGGGAAGGAACATCGTTTGCTGCAGCTGGTTTTGGGAAATCCTGGTTTTATTTGGTTTCTAGAAATCAAGTTTAATCCTTGTAGGTAGAACTGGTCTTTACATGGAAACCCTATCCAATTTGGTTTTGCTTTCATGACCACAATGACAGTTCTAGAGGGGGGTTTAGGTCACGTACACAGTAGCCAGAGCCCTGGCCATGGCCCTGTAAGAGTTTAATGAGCTCCTGAGAAAGGCAGCTAGCTAGGGAAGGGCCTGGGACACAGCTGGTGATCAGCCACATGGATAAGAATTAAAGAGGGCCGGGGATTTAGCTCAGTGGTTCCGGCCCCTGCCTCACAAATGCAAGGACCTGAGTTTGATCCCTGGTACCAAAAAAAAAAAGAATTAAAGAAAGAATAGTGAGCTAGGACTCTGGGCAGAGAATTAACTTCCTCAGGCAACAAGGAATACAGCTCCTCCCTAGTGTGTTCCTTTGTTCTGAGGAACTTAAAATTCGAAGTAACTAGTTTTTCCTTAAAATCCATTTTCTTTAACGCCTATATGCTGAGTAGCTGGGTTAGAGCACCTGAGTTCCAACTGGTCATTTTAGATCCACGAAGCCGCCTATGACAGGTGGCCACAAAGCAACTGAGCAATTCTGTGCTCTGTGCTTATCCACAAGCAGGTCTGGATTGAGGGGCACGAGGCCACCCCCTCAGGACCCTGCCTGGAAATCCAGGAGCTATTCTGTTTCCAATAAAATCTCTCCTAACTTCCTCCTTTTGGTTCGTGATCTCATGAGCTTGGTCTACATAAAATGAACTGCACCCCACAGCCCGGAATGCTGACAGCCAGTGGTCAGCTGCCTTACCCTACATATCCTTTTTCGGGTGTCTGAAGACCGCAGGGGCCGGCCTCTGACACAGAGGGTCAGGGGCTGGCCCAGGACCTGGTGAGTCAGGGGACCCAGGTGCAGATGGGGGGAGGGACTTACCTATGGCCCCTGATCTTTGCCCTGATCCCCAGGACAGTGGTCCCCTTCCTCCTGCCCCTCCTTCTGGTTTCTAGATCACCCCCAGGCTCCACATGGGGTCACTCACTGCATGGCTGGCCCTGGGGGGCTCGCTCAGTGCCCATGGCCTTTCTGGTTAGCCCAGGACAGAAGTCATCATCGGCGTATGCAGCACCAGGGCGAATGGCAGCGGCTTTGTCCTGCTGTCCTGGTTGGGCCAGACAGGCCAGGTCCTGGTGCAGGGTCAGAATGGTTGGGAGGGTTGGAAGGGTGGCCCTCCCTTCTCCAAAGTGCATGCTTTGGGAAGCTGTCCAGTGTAGAGGAACAGACACAGAGGACAGCCGAGTGCCTCCATCACCTCATTGCCACTGGGTTAACTGGAAGGAACCCCACACATTGGATTCCTTTGTAGGTAAATATTCTGGGATATTTCTTTAAAATAGCAATGAGTTGCTGGGTGTGGTGGCACACGCTTATGGCTTATGATCCCAGCACTCAAGAGGCTGAGGCAGGAGGATCACCACAAATTCAAGGCCAGACTGGGCTCCATCGTGAGTTCAAGGCCAGCCTGAACTACATGACAAGACCGTCTCAAAAGAAAAAAAAAAAAAAGCAACTTTTCAGTAAATATATGAGGCTTACAGACACATGGCCTCAATCTGGACTCAACCGTACACAACATAAAAATTGAGGGTATGGCTGTGTTCTGATAAAATTTTATTTACAAAAACAGGAGGCATGGCCAGTTTGGCAACCTCTGCTCTAAAAGGAATTTATGTGCATTAAAAAAAGAAATAGCAGGGCTCTGGGGTGGTGGCACACCTGTGATCCTAGTGCTTGAGGCTGAACAGGAGGGTTGTGAGTTCAAGGTCAGATGGGCTACACAGACTAATATCTCAAAAATCTAATAAAACTACAGCATCACTATCCTATTTTCTTATTTATTCGTTTGTTTTGTTTGAAACAGGGTCTCACTATGTAGTCCAGGCTGGCCTGGAATCCATGGTGATCCTCCTGCCTCAGCTTCCTGAGTGCTGGGATTACAGGTGTGTCTAATCATGCTTATCATATTTTTTTTTGGTACTGGGGATCAACTTGGGACCTTGGGCTTGCAAGGCAGGAGCCAGAACCACTGAGCTAAATCCCCGGCCCTGCTTATCACATTTTAAAATGGCATTAACTCCTTACTACCTGTAAATCAATGTTTACATTTTCCAGATTGTGTCTTTCAGTTTATTTGAATCATTCAAGTAAGAGAAGCTGGGCGTGGTGGCACATGCCTGTAATCCCAGCACTCAGGAGGCTGAGGCAGGAGGATCACTGCAAGTTCAAAGGCAGCTTGGGCTACATAGGGAGTTCAGGGCCAGCTTGGAATATGTAGTGAGACCCTGTGTCTCAATGAGAGCCCATACTGCATTTGAGTGACAGTATTACCTTCAGTTTTGTGGCTTTGGGGGGTCTGTCTCTTTAGAACCAGGGGACCTCAGGGCACCAGGTGAGGGCCAAGCAAGGCTGGGGAACAGTGTGGGTTTTTTTTTTTGTTACCAGGAATCAAACTCAGGGCCTTGCACTTGCCAGGCAGATGCTGTGGCGCTGTGCTACATCCGCGGCCCATTCACAGTCTGGTTCTTGACAGGGGGGCCGAACAGGGTGGTGTCTGGAGGTGAGATGGGATGTTTAGTGGTGTTGTGCCGAAGGCCCACAGACCTCACTCCCTGAGTTTTGCTGCCCGGAGAGTTGGAGGGCTGGTTATTTCAGTCCTGTGAACTGAACCTAAGACCTTTGCACTGAGCTACATCCACAGCCCTTTTTATTTTTTGTTTTGAAGGCTGCCATTTTTTTTTTTTGGTACTGGGGATGGAACTCAGGTCCTTACGCTTGCACAGCAAGCAGCGATTGGTTGCCATTTTTTGTAGTGCTGGGGATTAAACCCAGGGGCTTACACATGCTGGGTAAGCACTCTATGGTTGAGCTCCATGCCCAGATCTGTTTTTTGACACAAGACCTCACTAAGTTGCTACATTGCCCAGGCTGGACTCAAACTTCCATCCTCCTGCCTCAGTCTCCCCAAGTGTTGGGATAACAGGCATACACCATCACACCTGGCTCGAGGACAATTTCATTTTTTTGGTATCTGGGATCAAACTCCAGAGCTTGCGCTTGTGAGGCAGGCGCTGGAACCACTGAGCTAAATACCCGGCCCTCGAGGACAATTTTAAAGCACCTTGGTGACTTTGGGATTCACTGAAAGCCTGGGAACAATGGTGTGCTGGAGCAGACTCAAACCAGTTTCTAAGACCTAACTTAAAATTTCAAGGTTTTTTTTTCGTTTGATACAGGCACAGGCTAACGTCAAACTCACCTGCTTCAGCCTCCTGAGTGCTGGGGTAACAGGCACGCGCCACTATGCCCGGCTTATAAGCCATTCATTTTTTAAATTATATTTATGATTAATTTTACTAAAAACAAAGTATTTAAAGCTATTCACTTCCTATTTGACTACACTTCACACTGTACATACGCCTGCTCTTGAGGTGAATGCAGTCTCCTCCCAAATCGTGCCCAGTAACCGCCTGGACAGCCAGAAATCAGCCAGAGAGGGAGGGAGTGCTTCATCACGGACCTGAGCTGAGGGCCAGTTAGATACTGCAAGCCCACCGCTGCCTGGAACTATGCTCTTGCTCTGAACACCGGGAGTGGCTTCAGAACTCAAATCTGACCATTTTGGTGTCAGACTGAGCCAGACAGGGCTCATCCTGGAGAAGGGGGGGGCGGTGGGTCAGGTGGTGATTGGAGTTTGAGATTAAAAGAAAGCTACAACCAGACATCTGTTTGGCACTCTCACTCCTACACGAGGAAAGGAAATGCAGTAAGAGCTGAGCGAGGAGTCACCTTTAAAAGCCTCCAATTCCAAACTGAGTCACATTTGTCTTCATCTTAGTTAATGAAGAGGAACTTAGTGGAAGCCAAGTGACTGGACTGGCAAGGAGCCACATCTGCCTGTTCTCTACCTGGAAAGAGAAACTGCAATTATAATAAGGCCGGAACAGTGCCTGGCACACTGCTGATCCTGCTGCAAGCTTGGGGACCTCTTGCTGACTCTCCCAAGGTGTCTGCTGGGGCCATTTCTCCCATGGGTCCAGGGCCCACGCATGGGGAGCCTCTTGACTTATTCTACTTGTTATGGTTTGTGTCTAATGTCCCCCTAAAGCCTCATGCAGTCACAGGCTTTTTCAGAGATGGCTGAACCTAGAGTTGTGGTGCTGGGACTAAAGGGTGCGGTTACTAAACCAATACACATCAGTGATTGGTTTGGATAAAGGGCAGAAAGACACCGTCAAGGTCCCTTGTTGCTTTTGCTATCTTCCACCGCCATGGAACTGGTGGCCCTCTGCCTTGGAGCCAGCAGATTATGGACTGAAACCTCTACAAACTGTGAGCTAAATAAATTTTTCCTCCTTTAACTTTGGGTGTCAGGTTTTGTCTCAGTAGGAGAAAAGTAACTAAGACCCCAATCATGTGTTCTTCAAAGTAGGGTACCCCAAATCCCTACAGGTATGAGAAAATATTACAACTTCAATTTTTATTTGAGACAGGCTGGCCTTGAACTCAAGAGATCCTCTTGCTCAGACTCTTGAGTGCTGGCATTACAAGTGTGCATCCCCGCACCCAGGTCTGTTTTTATTTCTAAACTACAAGAGAGCCAGGGGTAGACCTCAGTGGTAAATGTGTGTACTCAGCTTGCAGGAAGTCCTGGGTTTATTTATTTTTTTGGGTACCAGGGATCAAACTCAGGTCCTTGTGCTTGCGGGACAGGTGGCAGAACCACTGAGCTAAATCCCTGGCCATGGAAGTCCTGGGTTTAAATACCTGACACCAAAGAAACTGGCCAAACTCCCCAAACTGTAAGGAAGCAATTAAGCTTTACTCATTTAATATGCAAATAGAAACATACGTTAAAAATGAACACTCAATATTCTTTATCACATGACTCCTGTCAGTTATGACCTTGTGGGCACTGAAAAATACCATTCCATTTCCTAATTCCAATGCCAGATCTGGGTCTGGTACGAAACAGGTGCTCCAATAACAGATGTGGAAGGAATGAACAGCTCAAATATAAGCTGCTTCTTTTCCAGGGGAATTCAAGGCCTCCTTTTGGGAAGAGGGGCCAGATCAGGGTCAAGGCCCATGGATTGTAGAAAAATGCCACTGTGTTGCAGGAAGCTCTCCGGAACAGCAGCGGGGATTATTGGGGTTTCTTTCTAGTTTATTTCCCTCCATCTCCTATGGCTTCAGCAGGAACAAACATCCTGCAAAGCCCAAGATGGTCCAAGAAGTTCTGGAAACTCGGTTACAAATTGCCAAATGTGTGGCCTAGCTTAGTGGCCCCTGCTGAGGGAAGCAGCGGGGGCAGGGGCTGAGATAGCAAGGCGCCAGAACCCCAGAATGAACCCTCCCACACGACCTGCGACCTGGCTTTACCTGCTCCCCACTGCTGAGGCATAACCAGAGCCCTCCAGCTAGCTCAGGTGCCGGACAGTAAGGAATGCTGCTGAGGAGGGAATGTCTGCGGCTGAGGGATGGTGGCAGATGACCTGCTACTAACCGATCCGAGACAGAGCTCTCCAGGAAAGGGCCTGGGGCAGGCCTGCCTGCCGCTTGGACGTGTGGCCCCTTTCACAAGGGCGGCCTCATCTACACAGTGGAGCTGGTTCTGCTTGCTGCTGCCTTTCAGAGGGATGGCAGCTCACCCAGAGTCTTCTAGAACCTGCTCTCGCCAGCTTCTTCTAACACTTACCCAATCAACAGGTTTTGTTTCACACACTGATTTTATTTATAATCATAGGTATTTCAGAGAATGCAGCAAAGTATAAAAGCAAACACGAAAGACTCCTGGGATACAGCCCAGGCTCAGCTTTTGGGACACCCGGATCTTACTGTGGCTAAGTTAACTTTGGCACGAGGAGGATCAGAACCAAGTCTCTGGCAACTGAGGTCATCTCAGCAGGCCTTTTTGTGGACTGCTGTTCTGCTGGGTTTCATTTTCACTGTTCGGTCACTGAATAAATGTGACAGCGATTGCGCTGGGCACACAGGAGAGCAAGTCTGTCCCCGCCTTAGCAGCTCACAATGTAATGGTGAGCACAGTGATGTAGCCGGCCTCAGGCCCCTCCAGCTCGGTGTGCCTGACACCCAGGGCAGTCACCTGCCACCGCAGCTCTGTGCAGCTAAGAAGGGGAGGTGAGGGGAGCCCTGAGGACGAGCCGGTGCACACTCTGCCTTTCTCCATCCCTGCGCAGGCCTCTCGGCTGACTGTCTCCTCCTCTGACACTCTAGCCCACTGTCTGTCCCGGTCACAATTCACTTGTCTTAGTGGTTAATTTTCACGAGTACACATACTGTACACCAAGGCTGCCAGCCAAGGACCGAGTCCTTAACCTCAGCCCTTCTCCACTGTGCCTGTCACTACGTGCTGGACAGAGTGGCTGCCCAATCAATCCTGGCTGGGAGATTTTTCCTAGGTGAATCAGTGTTCCGCTGTTGTTTGGTGATGGGTGGGTGGGTGGCTGCAGCAGGTGAGATGGGGCCAAAGCTACACAGACACCACCCACTAGGTCGCTGCCTGACCAGAAGACACAGAGAGCACTTTCTATTTGTTAACAGGAAAAGTCAAACCACAGAACAATTTCAACACCAATTATTTGAAAGAAGGAAACAAGCCCAAATTAAGACCCGGACCCCACTCCGGCTTCGAGAGCCCAGGACCCCAGGAGGCCGGCGCTCAGTCAAATGTGATCCTGTAGCTGCGCTCCTGCTCCTTGCGGCGGCCCTCGCACACCTTGGTCACCTCCTCCACCTTCCTCTGCAGAAGGGCCGAGTTCTGGTCGATCCACTGCAGCGAGTCCATGTGTGCGTTGAGGATCTTGCAGATCTGCTGCAGTGGGTCGCTGGTGTCAGCAGGGCCTCCGGACGTGTTCAGGTGCTCGATGATGTCCTTGAGGTCCTGGGCCATGCGCTTCAGCTGGGCATCAATGTTCTCAGCCAGCTTGTAGGTCTTCTCACGCTCCTCGTCGGCGTGCTGCAGGTAGATGGTCCCGCTCTGCTCCTTCACTGACTCCTCCAGGGGGCTCAGCAGGTCTTCCAGCTCCTTCTGCTGGGACAGGATGAAGTCGAGCTCCTGGTCCAGCCTCCTTTGGTCCAGCTTCACCTTCTCCACCTCACGGTGCAGGCTGGTGATCTTCTCCCCATTCTCGATTAGCGTGCGGTCCCAGGCGTTGACCTGGGTGGCCTGCTGGAGGAAGTGGCGCTCCTGGTCCTCCAGCTCCAGGCTCCACTTGTTGATCAGGCTCTCCAGCTGTGCGTAGGTCATCACAGGAGAGGTGGATGTCCCAGTAGCTGCAACGGAGCCAGATGCAGCAGTCACACCTGCTGCTGCACCGCTGGATATTGTAGCTGGCACCAGTGGCTTTATATTCAAAGCAAAGCCGGTGGCGGCAGTGGTGCTGGCTGTGGCCACAGTGGTGGATGTTGCTGCTGAGGTGCTAGAAGCGGTTTCGGGGGCTTTTAGGCTGAAACCCAGGGTCCCAGCGCCAGGAGCTCCAGTGGTGGTTGCTGGGACACAGAGGGCGAGCCCAGTGGTGGACGAGGTGGGAGCAGCTGCTATTGAGGCAAAGAGGGTGGGCCCTGCACTGCTGGCAGTGGCTGTGGGTGCAGCTGGCTGGGTGGCCCCCGCTGCAGTGGCTGCTGGCGTGGCTGCAGTGAAGGGCAATCCGGGAAGTGCCGTGGGCTGGGCCTGGGCTACACTGCCCAGGGAGCCAATGTTGAAGCCAGAGGTCCCAGCCTGGGACGTGCTTCCACTGGTGAAGGAGAACCCTCCAGACGTGGTGGCTGGAGCTGTGGAGGTGGTAGAGGAACCGAACACAAAGCCAGTGGATGCTGTCCCCTGGCTGGAGGTGACAGCACTTGATATGGCATTGGTGAGGGTGCTGCTGCCAAGCCCAAAGCCGCTGGGATTTGCCGTAACTGGGGCGGCAGCTATGTTGCTCAAGCTTGGCTTTGGGGTATTGATCCCTAAGGAAAAGCCAGTTGCTGTGGAAGCAGGAGTTGTTCCGAAAGTGAATCCAGTGGTCTGAGTTGCTGGAGCTTGGGTGTTGAGTGAGAAGAGGCTGGTTGAAGGGGTACTTGCAGCTGGCTGGGAGGGAGTTCCAAAGGTAAACCCTCCAGTGCCGGGAGTGGAGAAAGAAAATCCCGTTGAGGGTGTGGTGGTTGCTGTTCTCGCAGTGCCAAATGTGAATCCACCTGTGGAAGCACCAGTGCTTCCGAAATTAAACCCGCTCATGGTTTCAGACTCTGGTGGCAACAGCTACTCCAACTCTCAAAGCAAATCGGCCAGCGTCTGCAACCTTGGAAAGATTTTTAAAGCACAGGAAGTAACATGATCAGATGGCAGTTTTGGAAAGGCAACCTCACTAGCATGATGGCGCATGCTGGTTTGGAGGGTGGTAGGGCTGGATAATTACAATGGGCAGCAACCTTTCCTCTTCTCCCTGTATGACCTATACTAGGCTCTGCTAAATCAGCAAAGGGGGATCCAGAAGCACAAGCCCACGCCTGGGGGTGGGGTGCTGGGAGCTGGGTGTTCGTGGGCAGGGCAGAGCCCAGTCAGTACAGGAAACCCTGAGGCCACAGGGAAGGCAAACAGGCCCTGAATGTAGTTTAGCCCCGAGGAGGCACTTTCCCAGAGCGAAACTAGATGACACAAAATAATACCATGGGGCCTGCTGCCGGGCTGGGACTCAGCAGGGTTCTGCTGGCTGCAAAGGGTGTACGTGTATGGGAGCTGACCTGGCTTGTGCCAAGTGCCACTCTGACCTTGTACAGCAAGAGACCAGTCCTGGAAACCAACCTGGCCTGCAGGGTAGAGGCCTAGCCACTGAAGCTTTACCACTTCAGGGGACGAAGGGTGTGCTACAGCCTACCCCCTCCTCCAAGTGGTCAGCCAGGGCACTGGATGCTCCTGGCCCTGGTGACTGGGTCAAGGATAAACAGACCCGGGTCAGCAGCCAGAGCCGCCCCTTGGGTTTTTCTTCAGGTGGTGTGGGAGGGCCTTTCACTCAAATGGGTGAGGCTAAGGGGTATGCACCTGGACCTTCTCCTGGGTATCTTATTGGCCACCACAGTGGCAGGAAATGAGACACCAGAGAGTGACAGGTGGGGGATAAGGAGCATCCGGAAGCTCAAAGGCCAGCAGGGCCCTGCTCAGTCTGCAGGCTGGGATTCTGTGAAGTCTAGCTGCAGGAGCCCCCGCAGGACCACACAGGAGCAGCAAAGGTGGAGTTTACCCAGTGGGGAGAGGGTGAGGGAGCGCTGGACAGGGGCACTCGATACATGATGGGCCTGGAGGAGCGCTGGGATAGATGATGACTCTCATAAGCATCTGTGGCAGGAGTCCCGTCCCACAGCAAAGATGAGGAAATGGGCTCAGAGGGCTGCAATAATTTGTCCAGGGCCAGCAGCTGGCAGGTGGGAAGCCAGGAGCTGAGCCCAAGCTGTGGGCCTGCTGGAGCCAGTAACTTCCACTGTGCCAATTCAGGAACCTCGCTCAGCATGGAGACCAAAGTCAGGTGTCTCCCCACCCTCAATTATGGCAGCAGTTAAGAGGTGATCAGCGGAACAGCTCTGAAGAGCAAGGGCCAGGAGGAGATCATTGTAAGAGGACAGGAGCTGACTCCCTTCTAATCTATAACAGTTTCTAAATGCACTCTTTCTACAGCAAAGACACATAACTGATAGGCTTTGGGTTTTGAAAGTACCAATTTATGGAGTATGAATTCATTTTGAGGAAGTGATGGATTCACAAGCCCTTTTTTGTAATCACACAGGAGCCGGATACACTGACTTAAATAGCTCTTCTAAGCTGGCTGTTAGATTTTGGTGACAGAGGGCAGGGGGACCCTGAACCAGGTGTCTGGGGACCATAAACTAGCTGAGGCCAGCAGAAAACATCACAGGCAAAACCACACCAGTCTGAGCCAGGTGAAGCCTGTAATCCTAGTACTCAGGAGGCCGAGGCAGATGAGGATCACTGTGAGTTCGAGGCCAGCCTGGACTACACAGCATGACCCCGTCTCAAAAAAACAAAATCATTTATGCAAAAGACACACAGCAGGGCTACCACACAATTTTAAGGATACAAATACACTAAACATGGGGCTGGGGATTTAGCTCAGTGGTTCCACCACCTGCCTTGCAAGCGCAAGGTCCTGAGTTCAATTCCCCGTACCAAAAAAACCAAACCAAAACAAAAAAACCCCCAATACGGAGATGGAAGATTATCCTGGACATCCAGTGGGCCCTAGGTATAGCTGTGCGATGGTATAAAATGGTGGCAAGCTGGGCGAGGTGGTGCATGCCTACAGTCCTAGCACTTGGGCTGAGGCAGGAGGGCTGCAAGCTCAAGCCCAGCCTGAGCTACACAGTGAGACTCTGTCAACAAGCACCGCCCTCTGCAATGCATTCTCATAAAGATGGAGGCGGAGGGAGTGCTGAGGGGAAGAGAGAAGGTCAGTGCTGGTGGAAGCACAGTCAGAAGTGCGGTGCCTGAAGTTGGATGAAGGGCCACAAGCCAAGGAGCGTGGCAGCCTCCAGAAGCAGGAAGGCAGAGGAAGGGCTTTCCTCTGGAGCCCCCACATCCTTGTTTGGCCCAGTAAAGCTCATTTTAGATGTCCAACCACAACCGTGAGGGATTCAGTGTGTGCTGTTTTTAGGCACTCAATTTGTGGTCGGCTGTGAGAGCAGCCGGAGGAAACCAAGAAGAAAGTGAAGGCGGTGTGAAGAAGACAGCGTCTGGCAGATCTTAGGTGTGACGCGGGCAACCCTGTGCTAAGGCCTCCAGCAAAGTACAGCAAGGCTCTGGGGGCTCTGCTCCCTTCTGGGAAGGGCAAGTGGAGGCGGCACCCGGAAGCACAGGCAGGGCCTGACTCAGGGTGCCCATTATCACTGTGCTACCAGGCAGGCATGAAGCTGTATCTTCCCTTCCCGCCGCCGGGGAAGCCCCTGGTTGGTGTGGAGTGCGGGGGACGTCCAGCTGTGAAGTTCCTGAGAGCCAGGTGTGACTGACCTCAAGTTTAGCGTGAATTCACAGTCCACTGCCACCACCCAATGAGTTCTCAGGCTGTGACGAGAAGTCTCAATTCTAAGGTAGCAATTTCTGGGCAGCTAACCCCAACCCTAACAAGCTGGTGTGGCCACCAATGGGCCACACCCACTCTCACCCAGGCAGCTAAACTAACCTCACAAGGGACGGCGGGAGGGAGATCAGGACTGCGGCCCCAGCACACAGATGGGGAGGAGGTCCAGGAGGAAGCAAGTCGCTTATTCTCATCCACACACGACACCCTTTATTTCTACTCCACCACATGGTCCACAGGGCATCCGTACACCCCAACGTCCACCTACCACCTTCATTCTTATCTCCCTTCATTGAGAGCAGCCGGCCAGGTAGTTCCTCCTGTCAGGTATGAAGTCAGTCTCCCCATACATAAGGAAAAGACTTGGGCTTGAGTTCTGCCCCCGCCACTTAGGAGCTTTCCCGAAGCTCTCTGCACCTCTTTCCCATCTGTAGCAAGGACGCAACTGAGAAGTCAAGTGCCCGGCCTGGAGAAGCATCCACTGGGTCTATTTCCTCTTTCCTCTCCAAGCTGGATCCTATTTCTCAGCAGTCGCTGGGGAACCCCCTCCTGGCCAAGTTGGAGGAAACCCACCGTAGGCGCCCTCACCCCTTCGTCCCGAGAGCCCTCCAACCAGCACTGCCACCGGCCAGAACACCGACACGGCATCAGTCTCCGGGGTGGGACCCTGGCTGTGGCACTGTCAAAGCTCTTATGGGAGCTTCTTCGAAAGGTCTTTTCACCCCAGAAACGGGGGCCCCTGCCCCAAGCCCCAGCCTCTTATGTGACCTGCACCTCAATGCTGAGCCACCTGGAGCCCAGTTTGCTCCTAATACCCAAAGCATCGGAACAGCTACACCTACATGTCTCAGTTCTCAGGAACCCAGCCTGAGAGCTTTCGCTATTAACAAGTTGCAGCTAAAATTGTTCAGAAAAGCATTTATAAAAAGCTCTTTGCAACTATTAAAGAGAACAGCCTTCTGTGAGGGTGCGACTAGGTTAATGGTTCCCACGAGCCAATGCTCCACTGGTTTCCAACATCCCTGCTGGCAGGGATCTATTCCGATGGTGCAGACGTGTTGTCCCTGGCCTGCTCTTTGCTTCTGATGTGTGACTACACACCCTGGAGCACACTGTGGGGGCAGGTTCACCTTGTAAATGACCATGGCAAGGACTGCAGATGTGCCAAATATGAGCTCAGGATCACACTCCAGGGAGCAGCTGAGTAGGCAAAGTAGGGTTGGCTGGCCAACGTGGGGGGACTCTCCAGGTGGAGGAGGGGCCCAGGTGAAGGCAGAGAGGCTGACACAGGTGTCTTGGGGTGTGAAGGGATCTGGGCTGGCCAGAGGGGCAGTGAGTATGCAGTAAAAGGCTGTCCAGACCCTAAGGATTCCAAAGGAAGGCCTGGCCCTTCCCCAACTCCTGTTTTGGTTTACTGGGGTCTCAGGCCATGCCAGACAGTCCACACTAACACTGACCTATGGGGGGCATCAGGGACAGAGAATCTAAATTCAGCCTCAGGGGTGCTCCTGCCTACAGGACGATACCCGGGCCCTCAGGCAAGCTTCCTGGTTGCATACACACGGCCCCTGGTTTAAAGTGGAGTGAGGGCGCTGTGCAGCCAATGGGAACTGCACTCTGCTCCTATCCTAGGTAGAGACACATGGCACCTTCCTCTCCCATGATGGATGTGGTGGAGCTTGAGGTCACTCAGGTGTATTCTGTACTCTCCTTCTTGCCTTGGATGGGTGTACCAGGACTCAGCACCGTGGTGATCAGGAGCACCTGGGAGCTCCTGCCTGGTCTCTCCTGGATGAACTCACGAGCCTCTTCCCTTTTTACTCCTGATTTACTCTGGGGTAAGCTGCAACCGTGAGGAGACTGTAGTATATTTGCTGAGCCTGGGGAGCCCCAGGGAAGCACTGAGTGGTGGTCTTGGGAGGCACAGAGCCACAAGGTGGGGTGGAGAAACTGGCAGAGGCACAAATCCCATGCTAATGGCTCTGACCTTACAGTGAGGGAGCCACAGGGATGTGAGCGGGAAGGGGCTGCTATGGCCAGGGTCAGACAGGAGGGGTAGAGGCTGGAAGCTGGGGGCAGGGAGGCTGGGCAGTAGTCCAAGCTGAGACAGGGGCCTCAACTGGGAGTCTGACAGAGCTCGAAGAATTAGAGAAATGTGGAAGCTTGCACCAAAACTGCAGGTCTGTCCAAGTGAACGAAGCCAACAACAATCA